AACCCTAACTATTCTATGATTCTGTGAAATTCTTTACAATGAAGAGGCAAAACACTGGCCCAGGTTGCCCAGAGAGGTGGTGAATGCACTATCCCTGGAGACACTCAAGGCCAGGCTAGATGTGGTTCTAAGCAACCTATCTAGCTGAAGGTGTTCCTTCAAGGAACCTGCAGGGGAGTTGGACTAGATGAGCTTTGAAGATCTCTTCTAACTCAGACTGCTCTGTGATCTTACGGTTCTGTGACTTGCTTTCTGCTGTTCTGTATAACTGCAGCAAAATCCCATGCATGTGGTGAGAGACAGAGTGATATAGCTGGCTTGGTCAGTGGATCGAAGTGTCCTTGGCAAGGACATCCTTTCCCTGAATTGTGGTGGCTGGAGCAGCTTTGGAGGACACTGTAGTCTGTGCTGGGGGACAAACTGTTCTGGCTCGACTGAGCCATTGCCTTCCCAGCCCTTGCACCCAGTACTGGAGCTGCAGAGGCTCATGTGGTTTTCAGGTGGAGTATAAGCTTTCTGAACAAGCTTGCAGCATGTGAATCTCTCTCAGTAAGATAAAGCACCAACACAGCATCTCCTGGGTGGAGAAAAGAAGCAAGCATTGTGAGCTTGCTCCTCAGGTCCATTGCTGGTATCAAGACAGAGGCATTGTGAAGTGCAGGAGTGACTGCATGTTCTCAGGGGGATCAGAGGATCTTGGTTTCTTGCACTGGTAGAGACTAACTGGACCTGTTTTGTAGGGCCCAAGTACATGGTGGGACTGGCCTGGGTCTATCCCACTGTTAAGTCCCCCGGAATCCTCCGTGCTTCTTTGTTTCCCAGTATCCACATGTTGAGGAAGAAGCACTGAAAGCTTTGAGTATCTTCTTCCCCCCCACTCCCCTGCATGCTTCACTTCCCAGGCACATCTTTGTCCCACCAGAGCCCGCATGATATGCCTGTAGGAGGCTGGTCTGTGTAACTTCTCTGTAACATCCCCATAACTTCTCTATCCAAAATCCCCAAGCACTAACCAGCTGCTTTGCCTCTCTGCAGGTGTGAGATGGCTCTTGGGGAGTTCCTCAAGGAGATCAAGAAGAACCCCTCCAGTGTCAAGTTTGCAGAAATGGCCAATATCCTGGTGATCCACTGCCAGGCAGCAGGTGAGGACCAAGCAGCAGGTGTTCGTGGCGCCCTCCATAGGTTCAGGCCAGGAGTTTTCCAGTGACTGTTCACCACTGACCCACTTGCTTTTTCTTTTGTCATCATTATGCAAATCCTACTGAAAGGGGGGAACTGCAAGAGAATGCACTGCTGATCCCCAGGCTCAAATACAGCTCTGGTATCCTCCTGAAGCAAAAGTGCCTGGAAGTAAAATCCAGTACATTTGGAAAGATCTCCTTAGGTGCTTGTCTTAGCCTCTGCTGGCACTAGGTGCATAGGCAGGACAGTTAAGCTTGATGTGCCACACCATGCTCTAGCCTCCTGCAGGTCTGCTGTAGGCGGTGGCAGAGGGTTACAGCTGCAACTGGATGTATTTCCTGAGAAGGATCTTGTCCGTGAGCTGTGTTCATCAAGCTTAAACTGCTCTTTTAAACATTGCTGAATAGGAGTGGGTTTCTTCTGAGAAATGCAGAAATAGACCCAGACTGCTTGCTCTTGATTGAACTGATGTGCCATGAATTTACAGTGTTTAAGCCTAAAATCCAGTCTTGCCTTGGGTGATTGCCCCCGCAGTGCTCCCTATTCCAAAACTTAGGGATGTTAATAAAAGCCTAGCTCCAGGAGTGATGTTTGACCGACACACACAACTGCTACAGGTGTGACAGAGGAAATAACCTTATCCATTGGGAAACTTGACAGAATACTTGTAAATGAGGAAGCATTGTGGATTGAACTGAGTTAAATCTGAAACCTAATGGTTGTGTTTGATCTCAGCCTCACTGCAGACTAGGTCTTATATATCTCCTCTGGGACTAAATTATCACAGATTAAAGTCTCTTTGAGCTAGCAACTGGATGGAACAGAGGCAGCTCCGCTTGCATATGGTCCTTGGCCTGTGGAGTCTGCTCAACTGCCACTGCTGTCCTTTCCCTCACCTTTGTTTGTCTCATGTCTTCCAGATGACCTGATCCAGCTGACAGCTATGTGCTGGATGAGGGAGTTCATCCAGCTGGCTGGCCGGGTGATGCTGCCTTACTCCTCAGGGATCCTGACTGCTGTCCTGCCATGTCTCTCCTACGACGATCGCAAGAAGAGTATCCTTGTAACTCGGAGCTGCTCCCATTCGTCCTACAGTAACCTGCAGGGAAGTGCCTGTTCCCTGCCTCTGGGATGCAGGGCCAGCCACATGGCTGGAGAGGGCCAGGGGAAGTCCCAGCAAGTGCTGAAATCTGCACTTTGGACCTGAGGGGGGTTGCAGTAGCTGTGCTGGGGCAGCCCTAATGGGGCTGTGGTGGCTTCTCCACAGCTGGCCAGGTGTGGCGCACTCTGTGTGTGGGACTGTGTGTTCCTTACACTGCCTCCACTCAGACATCAAGCAGGTGGCCAATGTGTGTAACCAGAGCCTGATGAAGCTGGTCATCCCAGAGGATGATGAAATGGATGAAGCCAGGCAGTCGACGACCCTGTTGGCAGAGCCCACCTCAGAGGAGTTTGTCTCCAAACCAGAGGCAGCATCCAGTGGCGAGTCTCTCATTGTTCTGATCCATTAGAGTGTGAGGAAGGTCAAAGGAAAGTCCTCAAGAGAAGTTCTGAGTTGGTTTGGTGTCCTGGTGCAGCTTAGGGCACATGGGACCCTTCTGCTTTCTTTGAGCCTTGGTGCTGTAGCAGAGTTACTGATATGGCCTGGTTCGCAAGCAGTGCTGCATTCCGTGGTGAGCATACCCTCACCATGCTTCACTTCAGCTTAATCATTAAATTGACGAGGAAAAGATCATTTATACTTAAAATGTTTAGTGTCTTGCTAAGTAACACAGGGAGAGAATAGCCCACCTGTCCTGCAGTCACTTGGTTAGGAGGAACTGTGATGCTCTCAAATGAGAGCTTGGAGAGCTGTCTTAGTCCTGGGAGAGCATCAACACCTGCGTGGAGGATGTTTGTACTGGGGAAGGGTAGAGAACAGAAAGGAGAAGAATTTTCAGTCCTTTCCAAAATTCATAGTGCTCTTGAGGCCATCGTGTCACAGAGGTATTTTTCCAGTCCTAAAGTTTCCAGAAGGGAAAAGGTATGTTTGCAAGTGGTGTGGTAGACCTGGAAGAGTGTTCAAGTGAGAAGAAACTAAATCGAGAGGCTCTCAGTGGATCAAAGCCTGGAAACAGCGGCAGCTTCAGCTTTCCAGCAGCATCCCTTTGATGCAGTTGTCCTGGCGTGACTAAATGCTGCTTCTGGCACACCTTGTTGTCCAGGTGTATGAAATACATGTAACATTTATATCACACAAGCTAATCTGCTGTATTCTGGGGCTTCACCTTCAGCCTGATGCTGTTTTGTAACATGTCAGTAAGTGGCTTTTGGAAAATCCTGCCAAAGGGATTCCCAAATTCCTGTGAGAGGGAGCAGGAAGGTGGGAATTGAAAGGCTGAGGGTTTACCTTGTTCAGCAGCAGCCACGTGGAAGACGAGGCAGGAGTTGTGCAGGCAGTGGGCAGGCAGATTAGTGCACAGGCAGTACTGCACTTGGCAGAACTGGTGGTTCAGTGGTGGAATTCTTGCCTGCCACGTGGGAGACCCAGGTTCAATTCCCAGCCAATGCAGTAGATTTTTTTGGAAAGGAAAGAATTTAGTGCTGTAGCACAGTAGCAAGTAGTTTTATTCTTTATTCGTCCCAAGAATACTTCATTTCATTAAAATCTATGGCAGAAGAGCTTTTAAAACATCAACAGAAAGTTTAATGGCTTTAATACCTACCCCTTTGGGGCTGGATTGTACCTTGAAGTGGGCAGGATCTGATAAACCCTTGACGCTTTTGCAGCTCTGGTCCCTTGTGCTGATGTGATGGTGCTGTTGCATGTGTGCAAGGATGTGAGCACAAGGGGGCATGAAGAGTCAAGTTCATCCTGTTGCATTTTCACCATCCTTGTAAGACCCAGTTTTAGCATAGAGCAGAGGTTGGAAAGCTGTTTGGATTGCTTGGCTTCCACATGGAGTCATG